ACTGCAATAAAAAAAGGCCAACGCTACGCTGGGGATTATTAGGAAGGGAACTGAAAACAAATCAGCCAGTATCATAATGCCCCTGTATAAATCGATGGTACGTCCTCATTTGGAGTACTGTGTACAGTTCTGGTCACCACACCTCAAAAAGGATATTATAGCATTGGAAAAAGTGCAGAAAAGGGCAACTAGAATGATAAAAGGGTTGGAACACTTTCCCTATGAAGAAAGGTTAAAGTGCTTGGGGCTCTTTACCTTGGAGAAAATACAGCTGAGGGGTGACATTATCAAGGTTTATAAGATTATGCATGGGATAGAGCAGGTAGAGAAAGAAGTACTTTTCTCCCTTTCTCACAATACAAGAACCCGTGGGCACTCCATGAAATTGCTGAGCAGTCGGGTTAGAACAGATAAAAGGAAGTACTTCTTCACCCAAAGAGGGATTAACACATGGAATTCACTGCCACAGGAGGTGGCGGCGGCTACAAGCATGGAGAGCTTCAAGAGGGAACTGGATAAACATATGGAGCAGAGGTCCATCAGTGGCTATTAGCCACAAGGTATAGATAGGAACTCACAGGCTGGGGCAAATGATGCACTGTATTCTTGGTGCTTGGGGGAGACAACAGTGGGAGGGCTTCTAGTGTCCTGGCCCCACTGCTGGACCTCCTGATGGCACCTGGTATTTTTGGCCACTGTGTGACAGAGTGTTGGACTAGATGGGCCATTGGTCTGATCCAGCATTGGCTTCTCTTATGTTCTTATGTTCTCATGCTAATGAGCTCCTGCACCTCTTTTTCTATGAAATGACCCCTGGACCAAGGTATATTTTTTTTAAAAAAATCAAACAATTGGAAATCCAATAGAATCAGCACCTCAAATTAAAGGCATAAAGCATGGACTTTTAAAATAATAAATAGCCATCCATAGCTTTTAGAAAACTAAAAGAGACTTTCATGGATTCTTTTATTGTAGGGAATCATACTGTAACTCAAGACTAATGCAGAAACAGCCCTGTTTGTCAGACTCTTGGACAAAGTTATTCTCAACAACACTCACTGAAAGTGATTTCTTTATTGAATGATAAAGATGTTCCAAGCTACAAATGTTGTTGGGTCATGTTATGTATTGAGCCTAAGTCAGCCCTCTAGGTGCACCTGGAACTGGTGGAGCTTGTTACTCTATAACAATAGCTTACTAGGATCCTGGAGTAGACCAATAGATAAGTAGTGTAATGTAAATAGCCTATCCTTCTGTGTGTGGGGGTGGGGTGTGGGGGTGTTTGCATGCTTTATAAGCAGGGCTCAAACCTTGCTGCTGGTCCTTGTTGTGTTCCTGAAATCACTAAATAAACTAGAGCTGATCACTGCTATGCGTCCAGAACCCAGTATTTAACAAGTCAGAACTAAGGTTCTGGTGCAACCCCCCCCCCCAATTATACCTGGTTCAAATGTAGTCCCCTCCAATCACTCTGCCCATTAATTCCCACCTAACTAGCATGCTTCTAACTTCCCACCATTATCCATTCATTATCTCAGCTAAGGCGGTATGCACAGAGACAGACTAAGGCCATCCGGCCGAAATCCCTGGGAAAAGGAGGTATCTTCAGAAAGTTACGCGAGATGTATTGCTATTCGCACGCTCACACATTCATGCTCCCCCCCCTCTGGAATTCCCCCCCAAAAAACATGACAAATGAGACAGTGAGTTTGACACTGTTTCCCCCTCGGATGATCTAATTTCTTTCACTGTGGGGACCATTTAACACATCTTTCCAGACAATAATAATATAAGACAGGGTCAGCTGCCTTGAGCCACTGTGAGTGGTGAGAAAGACAAAATATAAATGTTTTAATAAATTAATAAAGAAATACTGGAAGAAATGCACTCCAAGCTATGGAAATGTCATATTCTAAAGGGCCTTAAAGATCAACACCCTGAATTAGTATCAGAAACTCACATGTACCCAGGGCTGTGGCCAGTAGTAGTATTTTGCACCCACTAAAAAAACTTCTAAATTATCTCAAGTGTAGTACATTATGGTGGTCAGTCCTATAAGAGGCCAATGCATGGACAAGCTAGTAAATAATACAGGAGAGTAAATAATGCAAACAAAATGAAGTGAGAAATTAGGAATTGTTCTATTGCTGACTTTCCCAAAGCCCATCAGCCAGTAAAGGTGGGTAAATCCAAGTTGTCCATGCAGACTGATATGACTCTCAAACTGGCCAGAAATTCAGAATTCAGTGCCAGATGGTTTGAGTGGTTTGACCTTGTGTCTCAAGATAGAGTTCACCATGATATCTGGGCAAATTAGATTTTTTCCTTTTAGCTTAATCTGAACGCTGAGAAAGTTATACACAGATGGTCCTAGATTAACATTTCTGTGTATACGCAGTAGCAGAGTCCTTCAGATAGAATGTTCTTAAATACTTTCTAGTGTCAATGGACAGGGCCTGATGTGAGTGGCTTGCCTCTGGACCACAAACAACTGGGCAATTATATTTTCGGATCCAAAGACACAAGGAGTGAGACAGAGGAAAACAGAAAGAATGGTGTCTATAAATGGCATTGACAAATAAACGCATTAAAGGCCATGCCTTGGTCCAGGAGTGATTTTTTTAATTGGTTTATTTTTCTGGCAATATGGAGCGGAAGGAAATGGCTAAGTGCTTCTGTGGGAGGTGGTCAGGGCAGGATCTTTCTGCTGAGGAAGCCACGCCTGCAGCAAAACACCAAACAAACCTGAGCTGTATTGTTTTTGTGGTCTGACATTTAGGCCTATGTCTCACACAAAAGTGAAGCAGCGGGGCAGAGAAGGGGTAGGTGGCAACATTTGAGAGTAACTTGATTATCTGGCCCAAGTTAACCATCGCCCCAGCCAGGCCCAGACCGTCATTAAAGTGTGGAATTCTCTGCCAAAAAGTTTTAAGTAAATTTTTTTTTTACAAAAAATTATTTTAATAACAAGAAAATACAAACAATAGATTGATTTTTACAGCTTCACATTTTGAAAATGACTTATACCAGATACAAAATATCATAATCTGTGCTTGGTAGTAATAACAGTTTCTATGAGATAAGTTATGTTAATGAATAGCATGGTATAAGTAAATGCATTTTTGATATGAGATTCATTATGATGGTTACCAATTATATAAATAAACACTCAAATAAACTTTCAAATAGTCAAAGACTCAAAAGCATTTGGGATTGCTTTCCTTACTTTGTTTGGATCATCTTATGTTAATGTATGAGTTGTTTTTTCTAAAGTAAAACCTCAGCATTCAGGTTAAATTGCAATGTTGGCACTTTGCAATAAATAAGTGGGTTTTGGGTCGCAGTTTGGGCACTCGGTCTCTAAGAGGTTCACCATCACTGATCTATACCATGCTGGCTCTTGATTAGTGTTAAGCATTCTGGGTTGTCTTCTGGTGGGATCAAAAATGATCCCTTACAGTTCAGGATGTACTTTTTTAATGTTCTCAGGTATACAGGCTGGATTATGTGTCAGAACAGGATGATTCATTGTGTTGTGGTAGGTCCCTGCCCGCGTGCTTGATGTTTTCTGTTGACTGTAATGACTAACAACACTTTCCATTTTAAAGTAAAGAGGCTCAAGAAATGATAACAGGACTTGATGTGGCTTGGTTAGACACAAGATTACTCAGAAAAGAAAGGAAGGAAGCCAACATTCCTTTGCTCAAGCTCAATAAGCCATAATTTATTTTTTCTTCTGGAGTCTATAGGTAACATAAACTTCTCTCCACCAAAACTAACATCTACCCAGTTCCAGTTATCATACTGGTGTTAAGTTACTAATGAGGCACCACTGCTGCAAAAACCAAATTGGCCTTCTCGATTTCTTTTCAGTTGTCCCTGTAGAAGAAACTGGTCTGGCATTTGTAAGGTTACACCCCACGAAACATGCTGACGGAGCACTGAAGCAAAGACATACATCGGTTTCAAGTTTAACTTCGATTAAATCATCTATCAATGGATTTATCTCAAGGCTAGTGGTGAAGGACCTGCCTGAAAAGTGTTAAAACTCTCACACAGTCAATTCATCTGTAAGGAGCCTCTTTTTGGGGGTCACTCGATTGCCAACAGGTAAGCAAGATTTTTCATTATTGTGAGGATATTTCTGTGTCTTGATTCCAAAGAGGTTAATAATGCTTTAGACAGCTTTTAATACTGAAGTGAGCTCCCAGCGATTATTCACACAGCATGATACGTCTGTAGCTCCAGAGTAACACATTAGTTCTCCTTTGCTCAGAAGATGGAGAAGAGAAGCACAAAGTTGTTCCCAAAGGAAAGTAATTAACTGCTGCAGACAAAGGAAAAATGTGCTTCAAGTGTATGAATTAACTTCCCAGTGTTATTTACAGGAATGCAGTCTGTTTCACAGTCGGTAGCGGATGGTCTCCCAGTACTAAAAAGACAAATTGAAGTCCTGAAAATGAGTAAATCACAGTTCTGGATGCAAACATGCTTGATCAGCAGTGCCATCCTAAGCAGAGGTACCCTCATTGGGCTTAGAAAGGTGTGACTGTTTAGGATTGAACTGTCTATTAAACTATTCTGAATTTGTCTGAGTGCTTAGCTACACATTATGCTTTCCCTGGGGTCGTCCTCGGGTTAGGTAGAGAGGTATGTTTCTGTACTTACCATGTATGTGTGGACACAATTTGGATCAGAACCATGGCACAAAAAGAGAGGAGGTTCTGACCTTCCCCTCATGCCATCTCCCCAGCTGAAATGGTCACTGTGGAAATGTCATGTGGAGTAAATGTGCAGCCCCCAGCCAGGCAAATAGAAAACCATCATGGGACCCTCACAAATTTCAAAACAGGTCCATGCATATCACACCATAAAAAGAAAGTAGGGATCATATGCTATAGTTTTATCAGTTGATTGACCCTACACAATGGGCCCCAAACATCTGGTTTGTATTGGGAATAATCAGGTAAAGTCTTCCACAGGAAACAGTAGGATTTGCTTTTTGTTGCGAATGTGGCATTTGTTCAAACATGCAGACTAGCCACATAGAAAAAAAGTCATGGTTAGCAGCATTTGTTTTGGCCATCAAGTTGCACCTAATTTATGGTAGCCCTGTAGGACAGCAGTTCCCAACATGGTGCCTGTGGGTGCCATTGAGCCCCTCAACACCTTTCCTGGTGCCAGCCAATTGTTTTTAGAAAGTGGGTGTGGCTTTTGCCCAGGAAGGCTTCTGATTGGCCATTAGATATTTGATTGGCTATGTAGATTTTTTTAATAAAATGTTGCTTTGGCAGCAGCTACCACCACAGCACAAAGATCTTCACTATATAATGGAAGGTAAACTGCAGCAGACATTTTGTGACTGTCTCTGTCTCCTGTGGCAGTTGTGAGGAATCTGAGATTTAATTTGCACAGCTTCTCGAGACAGTTGGGCAAAGATTTCTTTACACAACAGGACATTCTGTGCCGTTTCAAGTTTGGTTTGCCAATGTGGAGCTCCTGGCTTTGACTTTGGAAGAGGTCTTTTAAACAAGTTTACAGTTCCAAGATCCCCTATATCTGGAGACTGTTTTTGAATAGATACCTTGATGTAGGCCGATCCCTCTAAATCACTGGGGATCTGGACATCTAAAGGACAGTAATCCTCAGGAATTTTTTTGTCCAGATCAATGTCTGTGTTTTTTATGACTTCAAACGTGCCATGATGTGGAAAGAGAGACCCTGCACTTTTGTAGCTCAAGTCTCCGAGGATTTTATCGCCCACCTTCCTCAGCTTCCAGTGCTGTCTCAGCCTTAGCAGTTCCGAGTTGAAGTCTCTCTGCCGCTTATTTTCCTGGCTCTCAGCGACTGATTTGGACAGCCTCTCGGCACCTTTCAGGAGGATCTGGGCGGCTCCAGCTAATGATTTCTTCTTGGAAATCAACTGCAGAACTTGAGGATTCTGCTTCTGGGGTATTGACTCCTGCACAACTGGATCCAGAGTCATAAACTTTTTATCTTTGATAATGCTGAGGACGTCATAGAGCACGCACATCTCAGTCAAGGCGCTTCTCAAGTTATTCCTCACTGAATCCCAAGGCCAGAGAGAAGGCTGAAACTTGACCAAACCTTCCTCCTCCTCGTCGTTCTCGCCCCCGGCGCCAGGCCACTCTCGCCCCCCGCCGCCGCCGCCCGGGCTGGGCTCGTCCTCTTCGGAGCCGGAGCTGCCCTGGCTGAAGTCGATGCGCTGCGCCAGCCGGGCCAGGTTCTGCGACATGGACAGGGGCTGCAGGTAGGTCTCGCTCCCGTCCAGCCCCACCTCCTGCACATGTTTCTCGCTGGCCGACTCGATGCTGATCCGGACCGACGGCACCCCCGACATCTTTGCCGCCTCAGGGGGACGCGCTCCCCCACCGCCGCCGTCCCGGTCCTCCTCCTCCACGAAAACGTGGGGCTAACCGGCAGGCCCTCGATGAGCATGCGTGTCAGGAGTACGGTGTCCCTAAAGGGGAGAGGCCCATCTGCCTCTCTCCTGTGGCAGTTGATTTGTGGCAGCCATTTTCTGGCTGTGCCCACCATGCTGTGTCAGAATTCCAAAGGTGCCTGTGGGCTCAGGAAGGTTGGGGGGCCCTGCCATAAAGTCTTCAAGGCAAGAGACATTCAGAGGTGGCCATTGCCTGCCTCTGCATCGCAGCCTTGGACTTCCTTGGTGACCCAACCTCAGATCAGATATCAAATAAGGGTATACTGTTTGGCTCAACAATACAAAGGAAAATAATAGAGACAAGAAAATTCTTAATACAGTTTTACAATACAAAATAGCCTTTACAGTATTGCATGAAAATGAAATGTCTGTGCAGTGTATTGAAAACATATTGCAAAGCTTAGCTGCTTCCCCTGCAAAAGCAACCTACTTCCTGATGACATTTTCACCAACATCTTCCAGCACCACAGGAATCAGTTGCACAGATGGCAACCAAACCAATGGAACTTCCTTAGCCAAGCTGCACTAATCCCACCGATTTCATTGGAACAAATAATGTTAATTTCCTGCGTTCACAAGGCAGGAGTTCTGTTCTTATACAAAGAATAATAGGAGGAGGAGGAGGAGATTGGATTTATACCCCACCTTTCACTCAGAGTCTCAGAATGGCTTACAATCTCCTTCCCTTCCCCCTCTCAACAACAAACACCCTGTGAGGTCGGTGGGGTTGAGAGAGCTCTTTCGAGGACTGCTTTTGAGAGAACAACTCTGAGAGAACTTGTGACTTGACCAAAGGTCACACCAGCAGCTGCATGTGGAGGAGTGGGAAATCAAACCTGGTTCTCCCAGATTAGAGCCTGCACTTAACCACCACACCAAACTGGCTCTGCTATCTATGCACAGATCCCTAAAATTAGTAAATATTTCTGGGCTCATTGGCAGAGCATCTGCTTGGCATGCAGAAGGTCACAGGTTTAATCCCTAGCATCTCCAGTTAAAAGGATCCGGCAATAATTGAGAGCTGCTGCCCATCTGACCAGAAAGTGCTAACTCTGATGGGCCGATGGTCTGATTCAGTATAAGGCAGCTTCATGTGTTCATGACTTCATCTAATACACGTTAGCAGCTACAGTGAAAACTCTTTAGATCTTACCACCCCACTAGATCACTTTGATCTTCAGTATCTGGTTTTTCAGTAGTAACCAAGGGACCATAGCTCAGTGGAGTGGTGACTCAGTAATAGAGCATCTACTTGAAATGCAGGAGGTCTCAGATTCAACCCCTGGCATCTCCAGTTTAAAGAATTGGGTAGTAGGTAATATGAAAGACTTCTTTCTGAAACACTGGAGAGCAGCTGCCAGTCTGAGTGGACAATACTGACCTTGATGGACCAATGGTCTGATTCAGTATTATTGGGATAATTGGTTAATATAGCAGAGTTTGCCCAGCCATAGAAGCATGATATTGCATGCAGTAAACAAAACTCCCAAGAAGTATATTACAAAAATAAAACCTACATTTATTCAGGTAGATTCAATTCACATTCAGATTACAGTCAAAATTTGAAACAAAGGCACCTAATCTAAAGAATACTATCAACATGATAGCATTCTTTAGTCCATGGGGGTCACAAAAGAGTCGGACTTGACTGTGCGACTGAAAAACAATAGATCAACATGATTACCAAGTGTGTTTAGTTTTTCTGCCAGTGTGGCTATTAATATCTTACAGTCCACATTTGACAGTGACATTGGTCTAAAGACTCCATACTTGTTGGGTCCTTTCCTTGTTTAAGGATCAGAAGACCCCTGCTTCCTTTATTGTTCTCATAGTCAAACAGTACTTAAGTGACTCTGCCAATTAAGACACTGGAAATGGTATAAAGAACTGATAATGTTCATCATTAGTGATGTCTTACCCCAGGATTTTTACAGATGTAATCTAAGAACTGAGTCTTTCATAGAAATAAAATTTGACATAGAAAGCAAGGGGGTGTTAAATGGATTAATAAGGGAGTCAGAAGAGAAACATGGTAGACCATCTAGAAAGCAACATTCTTCTATCACAGACCACATATAGAGAGTTGGATATATGATAGAGCAAGTACAAATTTGAAACAAAGGCGCTTTAGAAAAGGTGCAAAGGTTTGCAGGCTTTTGGCAAATCAGGTAGCAAAGGAAGAGAAACAAAGTATTATATAAAAAGTTGTAATGAGGGGGAAAGGTGGAAAGGAGTTTTCTAGTTCTGGCAAAAAATGATATAAATTGGGCTTTTGTAAAGGGAAATTTCAAATTGCACCATGGAATATGATTGTAATTTGTGAACTTAGTGTGCACTGCTACAAGCCACTTGTGTATTTTCCTTGTGTTCATGTGTGCACTTGCATTGCTGCTTAGAGTCATAGTCAATGAAATTTAGAAGCTTACAAGTAGTAGGAGAATATTCTCAGAACTGGAAATTTGACTGCCCTAATGCAGAAGGTTTGAATTTTTGAAATACACAAATGTTTTCCAGGAATTGCACTTTTTTTTTCTTGGAGAACTTTTTTCTTGATTTTAATTCTTTCCTGCATCACTGAGGGCCAAGGTACATGACACGCCTGACGTGTCAGATCACAAGTGTGTAACTGGACGAAGAATGGCCAGTCAGTACAGCGTGGCGACGGGCGGTTTCTCGGTAGCTCCAAGATGCCCGATCCTTCTATGCTCTTTTTGGAGCCCTCTTGGTTGCCAGGTAGGCTTCGCTAGACTTCCCGGAGAGAGATCTAGTTGCAGGGAGCTTTGTTGCAGCCCCTCCCATATTTGGCAAATGGGGGGATGTCTGCTACTGCCCTGAAGCGGGAGCGTTCAACAGATAGAACATGGGTGCCATGTTCTAGCAAGCTGTGACCATCCGTCTTTTTAACCACCACGGGACTTATAATTTAAGTAGAACAAATAGATTTAAGTAGAACAAGAGAAAGTCGAATGGTTTTGGATTTAATACCCCAAGCAGACATTTCCAACTTTAAGAAAGCAGCCTTGAAGCGATTGGGAACAGATTTCGTTCTAAAATGGCGGGGGTAAGAAAAAATTCTCATCTTGTTTGAACTGCTATCGTTTGCTATGAATGGAAATTGGTGAGTAGCCAAAATGCAACAAACTAAAATGTATTGTGAGAATGAAAGTTTAGAGATTGTGGCAAAATGGAATTGGGAGTAGAGGAAGAAGAGCTAGACCCTCACCTGGGAACAATTGCAAAAAATTTTGGTGAGAGAAATTAGGCAAGCAGTTAAAATTGCCTTTAACAATCTTGTGGAAAACTACCAAAGTGCAAGTCAAGATAAGAGTATAAATGAAGATTAAACTCAACACGCTCTGGGGAACAAGACTGTTCTTGGGAGAGGACGAGGGAATTACTTAATAGCCAAATTTAGTGGAAACAGAGAATCAAGAAATAAATATTGACAAGAGACGTTGCTTAAAAGAACAAATTGTGTACTGGAAAAGGAAGCAACAAAAAGGTTACATGTGAAAGAGAATAAGAGGGGGGAAAGGAAAGGAGGAGGAAAGGTTTTGGTAAAGAAACTTAAGGTAAAAAAAATGATGACTGACTTTGTGAAAGACGGAAGAACTGATTTGGAACTGGAACCTCATGAATACAAAGATTCAAGACATTTGAATGAAATTGAAAGGAAAAAGGAGGCTTTAGAAAGAGGGGGGGAAAGGAAGACAAAAAACTATGTTTGGTTCAGTATGCTGTTATTTCTTTGGGTATAACGGTTTAAATAAAAAAAATGAACCTTGTTGTTACTGTGAAGAAAAGATAGGAAACTTGTACTTGTGCAACCAATTGGTAGTTTATTTCTATTTTTGTGGCTTAGTTTGTTTCTGTTTCATTAATCTATTCTATATCTATATATCTATCCTCTCTCTATATATATGATGAGTATGGATGGATTTGAGTATATGAATGGGTCTTTGTTGTATTTTATATTTTCAATGGGCATTTGTTAGTATAGATGATGGGAAGGGCATAAGGTAATGCTTAGGTTAATTAAGGTTGAAATATTAGTATTTTTTTAGCTAGATATTTCTTTAGACTGTTTTCTTTCTTTATTGTTGCTGATGGAAAAAATGTTAGATTAGGGGCAGAGGTAGGTTTCTTCCTAATTAAAAGACTAACCTTTAAGACTAAGACTAACTGAGTGGTGGGTGTGGCCTTATGACACACTTCCGGTGATGTCAGGGGGTGTGGCCTTATGACACACTTCCGGTGATGTCAGGGTGTGTGGCATATGCTAATGAGTTATGCTAATGAGTCCCCCTAGCTCTTTTTCTACGAAACGACCCCTGAGTTAAAGTACCATCTATTAAAAAACATGGGGACAAAAAATGGAAGTTAGAATATGACATATAGAAGATGTAGACATAAAGTCTTGTTTGTTGCTTTTGATTGTTAGAAATAGAATGAATTTAAATTGTTATCTTTGTAGCAGTTTAAATAGGGAATAAGAAATTACTTACACAAGTAGAATGGCATCATTAAAGTGAAACCTGTTTAGTAGTAACAGTTTTGATACTATAAGAATTGTAAGTTAAATCTACTATAAACTTTGTTGTTAAAGTAATTTATAGGATCTTCTAATACATGATATAAGATATATGACTGGAAAAGGATAATATGATATGGCACTAAATGTATAAGTAATCCTAATTTTGATTGGAGAATTTATAATTAAACTATTAATCCAGATTTGAATGTTACGATGTGCTTAAATATTTACAGGTTCCCTTTTGTGTATGTTTGTCTAAAAACAATAAATAGATCATAATAAAAACAAGTGTGTAACTGGACTAGCAGTCAGATGTATAAGGGCTTGATTACTCGGCACTGCAAGGGGGGGAGAGAGAGCTTCCAGCTTTTCTCCCACCCCCTTTTCCTCAGCAGAAAGGGATACAGGGTGGCTTTTTATACCTTTTGTCTTGCTCCAGGGTACATGAAGAGATAGAAAAGGGTTGAACAGCCCCCTAACACTTTCTGATAGCAAAAGTGGAATGGGAGGGAAACTGAAAACCCCGTCTCCCCACTTGCAGCACTTCCTTGCAGCAGCACTGAGTGTACGAGTGAGTTCCCCTGACATTAATTTGACTGCAAGTCCAGTTGCACATCCATGACCTGGCATGTGTCAGGTGTAGCATGTAGCTTGGCTCTTCTTCAGAATTAACATGTTTATTCTCAAGAAAAGAAATTATAGTTATACCAGACTCAGCCACCGGGTGTCACTCTTGCAAGCCATTTTCCAGTTGTATTTAAAAAAAACAAACATGCCAAAGGTAACACAGTAGGCAGTAAATAGCCTGGAGATTAATTCATCTATCACATTGAATTTACTTAGCAAATCATGGCAAAAAACTTTACAATAAGAGCAGATAATTAATTTTTGTCTTTGAATACTGCCCCACCCATCCCAAGGAAGACTGAACATTATCCCCAAAAATAAATAGGCAAAACAATAAAGAGAAATTTAAAATAAAATAAACCAAATAAAACTTGATTGCATAACCAGCTTGCATGCTGAAAGCCTGGATTAGTTAACCATTAACACAGTGGAATCACCTGTTGCTTATACAATCAAGAGTAAGAAAAAAATACATTCCATGATACTTTTGGATGAAGTAAAGCTTCTAATCAATAAGAGGGCAAAAGAGTGTTACATGCTTTACCTCCTTACTTTTCAAGTATATAGAAACATTGGGAACTGTCCAGAGAATCCTTTTTCCTTCTGTAAAAGAAGCTCTGTTCATAAGTCACAGAGAATGCATGTACAATTCATATACAGTGCACACTTTATTGTTCTTTGTATATGTTGTTGTTAGCCATTCAGTCATGTTCGACTCTCAGCAATTCTATGGGCTGGCTCTCTCCATGTTTTCTGATCTTGTACTGTTTCTTTGAGTTGTTCCATGCTCAGGGTGGTGTCAACTTTTATGGTGTCTAGCCACCATGTTCTTTGCCGGCCCGGTTTCCTTTTGCTGCTAACCAATCCAAGTATAATTGCTTTTTCTAGTGAGTTCTTCTGCATGATGCATTTAGTAATTCTCACATTATATTCAACACATGTGCAGCCGAACATGTGATACAAACCCCACATCTATCCAAGTACTGGTGCTTAGTTTCATTTGTAAAGGGAATATGTGTTCACTCTTTCTTACAAAGAGATGTACATGTGAATAGAGCTAGGGAAAGGGGAGATTGGGAAAGAATTGGCTTCTTCCATGTCCTGCACTGATTTTGGAAGCAGGATGTGCAATGGTTTGGCGAAGAGGAAGAAGAGGAGGAGGAGATTGGATTTATACCCCGCCCTTCACTTGGAGTCTCAGAATGGCTTACAATCTCCTTTCCCTTCCCCTCCCCACAACAGACACCCTGTGAGGTAGGTGGGGCTGAGAGAGCTCTTTCGAGAACTGTCTTTGAGAAAACAGCTCTGGCAGAACTATGGCTTGCCCAAGGTCATCCAGCAGCTGCAAGTGGAGAAGTGGGGAATCAAACCCGGTTCTCCCAGATTAGAGTCTGCACCCCCATGTTTAATAGAACGTAGAATTGTGTACCAAGGTTGCCAACAGATCTGAAGAAAATGCACTGTCCCTTTTACAGAAGCTTAATTTGAGGAAATGAGAAAATGAAGCCTTTTCATGGCATGGAAGTAAATAGCATTGCCTGGTAAATAACATTTTTCTCCAGACAGCTGGCAAGCCTTTCAGTGTCATCCACTTCCCATTGTAAATGTGTTTACTCACGACTGTGTCCTACTGTGTTCAATGGACCTTACTTTATTTATTTATTTATTTTATTCCGTTTTTATCTCCCCCCCCCCTCTGCAAACAGGCTCAGGGCGGCTGCACAGGAATACAGGTAAGGTGCACAGGACTGCTGCCTTAAAGAGATGGAGAGATGAAACCCGAAACACTCTAGTTAGGGATGCCAGCCTCCAGGTGGGACGGAGATCCCCCAGAATGACAGCTCATTTCCAGACTACAGAGACCAGTTCTCCCTGGAGAAAATGGATGCTTTGGAGGGTGGGCTCCATAGCATTGTACCCCTCTGAGGCCCCTGTTCTCCCCAGGCTCCACCCCAAAATCTCCAGGAGTTTCCCAAACTGGAGCTTGCCCCCCCCCACACCAGTGGCCAGGGAAGACCTGGCAACCCTAACTCCAGTGCATGTTTGTGAGCACTAACCACATGGTATGCAAAATAGGAACAAATACTAGAAAATAGGACCATTCCAGGTATATATAGACAGAAGGGACAAAATATTTCCTGTTTAAAGAAAGAGGTGTGTTTTTAGGGCCTGATCCCTCATTTACACTCATCTGTGATTTAGGCCTTTATCATTTTGACTGCAGGATAAGATAGTCTGTGGAGCCAGGTTGTTGCCTTTCTGTAGTTATTGGCTGGGGCAAATAGCTGCAATTGTAAGGAGGTTGTTTCCTTTGCCCCTGTGATCCAGGAGCCCAGTGGATGATGAGGGAGCTTTCAAACACAGATGAAAAAAGAAACAAACCGCACTGAAAATAATACATGTATTGTTCATATTTATTCAACATATATCCCATCTTGCTTAAAAGTTATCAAGCGACTCATCTGGTATCAGTGCCAGGGACCAGCAGCTGCAGTTTATATTCTGTTTACTAAAATAGCAGCATAGTGTTTTAATGTATTTTTTTCAAAATCTTTTTTTATTTCCTTCAAAAAAATCTTAAAAGAAAGATACACATAAAGACCAAAATATAACAACAGTGGTGGCGGATCTACACATAAGTTTGTATAAACGGTTTCCAAAGATCTATAAATAAGTCCATGCTCAATTGCTGTCTATATGCCATGCATTCAAATATTGACAGAGTTCTAAGGTCCTCAATCCATTGATTTACTGGAGGTGGGTTTTTATCTTTCCAGTGTTGTAATACAAGTCTTTTAGGTGTAGTAAGGGCGTGGAGGGTTACTCCAGTTAGTCTTTGGAGCCTAGCTATAATCTCTGTTCCTGAATCATGTGTTTTTTCAATGGCAGCAGCTATTGACTTAAAACAATGAGTGCTGTGCAGAATCACAGTGCAGCAAAACCATTGTAAAGCTCTTGGAAGTCAATAGTGCTGAGGTAAACCATTCTGCTATAAAGCACACAGTTGACAAATGCAGTAAGATGCAACAACCTCCAGCTCTCAAAGGGGATTTTTCCAGAGCTAAGTCATGTAGGCAGCAAGAACGTGAAATGTTCTGTAAGATCCAGAGCTACCTGGGAAGCCCTGATAGCCAGCCACGGTCAAGGAAGCCAATGGGAAGCTGAGAGTGGAAAACACATGAAGCAACTACTTTGGCTGAGCCTTCACTGCCTACAATGACTTCCTGAAAAGTTATTGCGGGCAGACCAGGGAGTCTTCTTGTTGAGCCCTGCAGGGCCTGATGACATTGAATTTGTGAACTGCTGTCTTCTAGAAGAAGCAAGTGGGATAGGACTAGAGGAAGGAGACAAGGACCCCGTGTGGCAGGGGCCAGACATCAGCAGGTTTTTTTCCTCGCCCATAGGCTGGAACAGATGCTAGTGTATCTTTAAAACACCCCATTAAAGCACAAAAATACATTTGCTTGTTCACCCCCAGTTTCTTTCTTTGGCCCATTACCTATGCAGTGTACTTTTCTTAATCATCAGATATAGTCTTTTGTTGCAACAGTAGCCTAGTCTTTCTATTGAAGTTGCACATAGAAAGCCACCCTGAGCACAAGTGTGGGGAGGGCGGGGGTAGAAGTTTAATAAATAAAAAAACAAAAATAAAAAACACACCACATGGCTTGATGATTCTCATGCATTCATCACTGATCTATTGAGTCCGCTCCATGCTTAAGCCCTTGACCACATATACCAAGGAGATGGTCCAAATGTCGTCAATTACAAGTTATTGAAATGGAACGAGGCATGGTTTTTACAAGATGGCTTGAGGGGAGGGATAGCACAGCGCATTTGATGGGAAGAACATGAGAGATCCTTATTTAAAAGCTCCCACAGGTTTTATTCCTTAAAAAAGCAAGCAACTGGAGTGCTCAAAATAGAAGAAAAGTGAAGAACAGAGCAGACAAAAATGAAGACTGCATTTTAGCCAATTTAATATAAAAAACTAAAGTTAAATTTGGGTCCAATTAATCACGAAGCCTGCATGCTGTTAGGAAAGGAGCACAGTCAGGAAATGGCAACATTCAGGTACAGGATCAACCAATCCATACATGGGAGAATTATTGTTATATTCCCTCCAGCAGCAGCATTATTTTATTATTTATAATAATCCCTAAAATGTATTTTAAAAGAACTGGGCCAAACAGCTCACAGTCTAAACATGTATTTCCCCAAACTGCTAAGGTGGTATGAGAATGAATTCCCTACGGTCACTCACAGAGGAGGCTGGCTGCCATACTTCTGTCTGATTTACTGTTCTGTCCTTGCATTCTTACTGTAAACCTGCAATGGGTCTAGGTAATGTTGCCATAGCACCTTCTGACATTTAAAAAAACATGAACAGGACATGCTTGTAACATCCTGATTTTCATATCAAAAATTATTGCTCAAGTTCTCTGCTCTGTACAACATTCATTTACTTTGTAACACTTTGTATTACTTTGTAATTCGTTTACTTTGCAATGACTGCTTTGGAGTGCCTCTGCTGTGTACAACATTCATTTACTTTGTAATACCCAAGCTCTCTGCTGTGTATAACATTCATTTACTTTGTATTTTAACTTAAGGGGGGGGGACACTTAATTACTCTCCATATATTGTCAAACTTAAAATAACTCTTACCAGCTATAGAATGTGCAATCAGGGTCTACATGTGAGAGGTGGAATACATATTATAAAGGTCCAAGTATCCAGGGGGATCTCTCAAACTACAAGCTCAACAGTATCAATATCATGATATTAAAAGAATAGAATAAGTAGCATGAGTCCCCAAAGGCAAACACTGGAACAGCTGATGAACAGCAATACAAACAGACAGATTCCAAGAAATTGTGGCAATACCTAGTAAACAAGGTATCTTATCCTGGGTCATGGGACTGTGGGTCCTGGCTGGCCCCTCTTGAGTGTGAGTGGCTCTTATTCCCTGCACCCTAAGCATAAAGCTTTTTGTGTATAAACTAGGGTTGCCAGTGGAGGCTGGAGTTCTCCCAGAATTATACAAAGATCAGTTGCCCTGGAGAAAATGACTGCTTTGGAGGCTGAACTCTCCCTTCCTTCCCCAAACTCTATCCTCCCCAGGCTCTGTCCCCAAATCTCCAGGAATTTCCCAACCCAGAGCTGGCAACCCTGAGTAGTGCCTCCATTTCAGATCAGAAAACAATAAGAAGAAGAGGAGGAGGAGGAGATTGGATTTATACCCCACCCTTCACTCAGAGTTTTAAAACGGCTTACGAACTCCTTTCCCTTCCCCTCCCCACAACAGACACAGGGGTAGGTGGGGCTGAGAGAGCTCTTTCCAGAACTGTCCTTGAGAGAACAGCTCTGACAGAACTATGGCTTGCCTGAGGTCATCCAGCAGCTGCAAGTGGAGGAGTGGGGAATCAAACCCAGTTCTCCCAGATTAGAATCTGCACACTTAACCACTACACCAAACTGGCCTCAGCGATCAGAACTTGGGGGAAATGGTGATCTAAATGTACATAAATGGAAAACGGAAGAGTGAAATTTAAGGTGACTGTTACTGTTACCTTCTACTGCCTGCACAGTGTTCCGCTAGGCACCCCATTTAACATAGACATGACAATACAAGGTCAAAGATGCTAAAGATCACAACTACAGCCCCAGGGCTTTAATAATTTTTGTTTTAACCTAAAGGTTTATAGGTTTAGAATTCCACTATAAACTTTGGCATCTTTTTAATGTAGTCAGATTGTTCTTGATGATTCCCAAGATGTCTGATGCTGGAACACATAACTACAAAAAGTTTACCATTGTGCAGAATGCCTGCTCAGGAGTGTTTAACAATGGAGGCAAGCTACAAGGAACTAGCAACATCAGAGACATAGTAAACAGATTGCAACTAGGGTTGCCAGCTCCAGATTTGGGGGTGGAGCCTGGGAGAGCATGATTTGGGGAGGGGAGGGACCTCAGGAGAGTATAATGCCACCTTCCCAAGCAGCTATTTTCTCCAGGGCAGCTGATCTCTGTAGTCTGAAGCTTAGTTGTGATTCTAGGATTCTCCAGGCCTCACTTGGGGGCTGGTGGCCATAACTGCAACCCAGCATCCTCTGTGCTGCCTTTGTATACCTGCTGTCATTAATTACTTTCCTAAGATTCTGCAAAGGTTCTGGAAGCGTGGGTGAAAGTAAGCTAGTATGGACTGACATGGCATACCTGACATGGTATACCTCCCATCTTTTGCTTTGCCCGCTCCCCCGGAACCAGTATTGGTAAGAAACATAAATTACTTTCACCCCTGTCTGGAAGAGCCAGAAAAACTTTCTGGTTAGGGCATCAGCCTTTGGATCATTTCACTTTCACTGTGTGGTACTGCTTAGCTGCTGGAGAGAGGTGCCTCTTACTTAGCATCTTGGATGAAAATTCATGATCCTCTCCAAGCTTTTTAATCATTAAGGGCCTCTGACCAGAAAAATAAGGCCTTTTAATGTTGTCTTTGGTTTGCATCCCCTCTCTCTCTCTCTCTCTTTCTCAAACACACACACACGTACACACATTCATTCCCGTAAAGCCCAACATCACTTTGCCAAAAGTATAATAGCAGGGCCATGAGTGGAGCTGTGTGTGGAATACCAACGACATGGTCATAAAAGTATGAGAACAGCGTTCATGTCTAGCACAGCAGGACAATGGGGGTGGAAAATAATATTCATTCAACTTCTCATGTGGAGTCAAAAGCTGCTGGCAAGCAAGAATACATTCTAAAAATAGTATGGAATCTTAAAGGAGTATAGTAATGTGAAATTAACGAAATTATTTCCAAATGTCCAGTGGAACTGTTCTGCTAAAATGATCTAGAGAAGCACTTGGATTATTAGTCTATCAGGTACACAAGGGAAACATCCTAACCTACCCCTTTTTAACTTAGCATATGTAAGGAGTGGGCCCTGGCTTAGGGTTTTGTTTTGTTGCCCCCTGTACCAGATAAGTAGAGCTATGAATGATCTACTAAGCCCTGCAATCTGTATATTTATCCTTACCATAAGAATGGAGCAGGCCTAGAACTGGGTCACCCTGGACTGGATGGCCCAGGCTATCCCAACCTCATCACTTCTCGGAAGCTAAGCAGTGTCCACCCTGGTTAGCCCTTGGATGGAAGACCACCAGGCAATGGCAAGCCACTTCTGTTTCTCTTGTGTGGAAAACCCTATGTGGTCTCCATAAGTTGGCTGCGATTTGACAGCACTTACCACCACCACCACCAGCAGAACATTTTGAGGTTTGTGATGCTGCCCCCGGGATCTGCATGCAGTGGCGAGGTCTCTCACTGCCACACACAGATCTGGCTGGGAGGCTTCTCCTGCCTGGAGCTAGATGCTGCTCCCCTGGATCCGCAGGTGACGGAGGGGGGGGGGTGTCTCACCACCACATGCAGACCTGGCTGGGAGGAGGCTTCTGCTGCCCGGTGCTAGAAGCTGCCCCTGTATCTGCATGTGACAGGGAGGCCTCTTCCAAGTGTGGGGAGTGAGAGGGATTGCTGAAATGGCTTGCATCTATTTCAGGTTAACAGCTGATGGGTACAGGTTAACTGCTGTTAGGCTAAAATATATGCAAGCCATCTCAGTGGTCCCTTTCACTCCCCCCCCTTCCCACCACAAGCCCCATGAACCTCCAAAAAACATGTGCAGGGTTGTGGGAGGGTCATGGATAGGGATGGGCACAAACCTTAGTTCATGAACCACGACCCTGAGATTTTCGTCACAAATTTAGTTTCATGATGAGTTCCTGCTCATCCCTAGAATTAGGGATCAAGAGTTCAAGTACTGAGAAATGTTGTATCCATGTACATAGAGCACTCCATGCTTAAAAAAAAGTTTAAATAAAAGTCAATTCCCTTTTGTTCATTTGACTGAGAGTGAATTGTCTCAGTGTATAAAACTAAAAAGTAAAGATAAAGGTTTCCCTTGCTCGAAAGCCAGTCGAATCTGACTCTAGGGGGTGGTGCTAATCTCCGTTTCCAAGCCAAAGAGCCAGCACTGTCTGTAGACTTTTCCGTGGTCATGTGACTAAATGCTGAGGTGCATGGAATGCTGTTACCTTCCCACCAAAGTGGTACCTATTTATCTAATAGCAAATTCTTGCTTTCGAACTGCTAGGTTGGCAGGAGCTGGGACCAGAGATGGGAGCTCACTCCGTCAGGCGGCACACTCGGGTCTCGAACTGCTGAACTACCGACCTTCTGGTCTGCAGCTTAGCATCTTAACCTCTGAGACACCGTGGCCCACTACCCACACACAAATCAGTCAGGCCTTGGTTTATATATCTAGCTATGTGGTGGCAGTGTGAAAGGAGAAGAAGCATGTAGTTCCCTACCACAATCACTCAGGGAAGTGTCTGGGATAGGGGCAGTCGGTAAGGAAACTGTCTGGTGGTGTCTGAGAGAAAGAAAGTGGAGACCTGGTGTGTAAAAGGGTCAGGGCTCTCATTAAAATTAATAGAGACAACACAAATGGCAAACTTGTGGCTGACTAACTCATCTGAGCCCAGAACAGAGAGGAAAAGGGGGGTCCTGAGCAGTGTTTCCTCTAAGCTGAGTTAGTGTGAGCTAGCTCACAGTTTTTTAACCTCCAGCTCACACATTTTTGTCTTAGCTCAGGAAGGAGGGCTCCAGAGCAAACTATTTTATGCAGTAGCCAAATTGCTTGCTCACAATTTTAGTGCCAGCAGCTCACAAAGTAGATTTTTTTTTCTCACAAGACTCCTCAGCTTAGAGGGAGTATTGGTCCTGAGTGGGAATGTGAGAGAAAAGGGGGGGGGGTCACATACGTCTACACGATTAATTGTATACGTCACCTGTTTTGAATAGACAATGGTAGCAAATGAACTGAGTATTTTATTGCTATCATTGTTACTGTGTTGAATTTCACTTCCAGGATTGAAGCCCTGACACCCAAAGAGGCAAAGAAGAAATGGCTGAAGGAGAAATAACAACATTCACGGCTCTGACAGAAATGTTTGACCTTCCAATGGCAGATTACAGGAAGCCCAAGCTGCTTTACTGCAGCAATGGAGGCCACTTTTTGAGGATACGTCCTGATGGCAAAGTCGATGGCACGAGGGACCGAAATGACCAACACAGTAAGCTTTTTCTTGGCCTTTCACTTGGCTTTAGAGATTTTCTGTCTCAAGGCATTATTTCCACAGTGACCATCTGTCTTCTGATAAACCTCTGAAGTTCTGAACACTTGTCGTGGATCCTTTGTGTAGTGTCTAAGATCCTAGGCATGTTCTAAAGTTCATGAGTGGACTTACCATGATCCTTCATGTCCTTAGAACATGCCCAGTTTTCCCATGTGATGGAACATTGATTGAGAACATTAGTAATAGTAGGCAAGATTCTGACCAAAAAAGTTTGTCTTCCATCGCTTGTCTCATTGAGGAACACTTGATAATAGACATCACACATCTTGAGAACACAGTTTTAAAATTCCTGTTGTAGATGGCTAGCATTACTTTTAGTTTTTGCCTCCTACCTTTCATTTTCTCTTTGGGATGATGGCATTTTGCACAGTTGTTTTGTCAGCCAAGGAAGAACAGGCAAGTTGTGCTTCACACCAAGTCTCCTCCTCCTCTGCATAGCAGTGGACTGTGCTGATGTTTACCACATGCAACCCAAAGAGGTGCCAAAGGCACGTATATGCACCCACATAGGAGACACATAGAGGGCCTTCATATTTTTAAACAAAATCATGAAACATAAAATGCCAACCCCTACAATACAAATCATGGCCAAACTCATATGGTGAACTAGGATAAACAGCAAGTCAAACAGAAGTAGAGCTGGAACAGTGTGATTCAGCAAAGTAAAAGTTGTATGCTATCAGGAAGAAATCCATCCTACATTGCAAATTCAGTAGTCTGTAAGTCTTTCCTTTACCATGAACTAGGTCAGAAGAACATTGTGGCATACCAGTTGCTTTAAGGGCTTAATTACAAATCATGGGAGATGTATGGCTGATGCCAAATCTTATTTTCCCATGCATCTCCCTTGTAGTGTTTAGGGGGGGGAATGCATGAAAATGGCACCAGCTTATTTACCATTTCCACATCTCCGCAGGTTGCTATGAATTGGAATAGGCATTGGAAAACATTTACTGCAACATGTCAACATTACAAGTCAAATTTATTTTACTAGATGTTATTAAATGTGGGGGTGGGGTGGGAGTTGCAGCTTAATGGCAGCCACACACATTAGTAATATGAAGCAAAAGGCTCTGAGTCTTTCTCACTAGTGCTAAGCAGGGAAAAATCTTGCAGGAACTATCTTTCTTTTGTGGCCATGTTAGGGATGCCAGCCTGCAGGTGGGGCCTGGGGACCCCCTGGAATTACAGATCATCTCCTGACTACAGAGATCAGAAAACAGGTGCTTTGGAGAGTGGACTCTATGGCATTGTACCCCGCTGAGGTACTTCCCAGGCTGCATCCCCAAATCTCCAGGAGTTTCCCAACCTGGATCTGGCAACCCTTCCCCCCAGTGGCCAGGGAGGACCTGGCAATCCTAGGCTGTGTGTGTTATTACACGTAGAATTGTGCACAATCATAGACTTACAATGCAGTTCGATGCAGAAGTATTCCAGCCTAAATCATAGGCTTAGGCTAGTGTAACTTTGCACAGCATTGCAGTCTGTCTGTCAACCCCAAAACCTGTTTTCTGTGCCATCATCAAGCCATGGAAAATGGGAAGGAATAAACAAAAATGTGCTTCTGAGCATGTGCAGAATGCCTCTATTTCCTCATGGATCATCTGCACATAGGTAAAAGTAAAGGTTCCCCTGCTCGAAAGCCAGTCGAATCCGACTCTAGGGTTGCGGTGCTCATCTACGTTTCAAAGCCGAAGAGCCAGTGCTGTCCGAAGACATTTCCGTGGTCATGTGGCTGGCATGACTAAACACCAAGACGCACGGAACACTGTTACCTTCCCACATACATAGAATTACAAAGGAAGAATTCCAGGGCGAACGCCATCACTCTTGCAAAGGCCTGAGTCCTGCCGTCTTTCCTTTTAGAACTTAGAATAACAGAAGTGGCTGGTCAGCAGTGTCACCTGACTCAGTGAGAAAATGGCAACAGTAGCAACCACATCATAAGAAGCAATATTTTAAAACTCCTGATGATACTCCCTGAAATATACTGGGTTTGAGACATGTAAAGTGATCAGCTCGTAGTTCATTAGTGATTCAGCTTAACTAAGACAACTCAAGCAGGGCAGGGGCCCTGCTTATATGCGTGTAAAATATCACACCCGACACACACACACTCCCCATGATAGGCTATTTACATCACAACTCCTAATTGATAGATCCATTCCAGGATCCTGGCTACCCACTGTTCAGGTGACACAAGCTTCGTCAGTTACCCGGTACTGTCCTGACTCAGTACATAACACTCCCCCACTCTTTCTAAATCTCATACCAGTATTCCATGCTTGATCCCTCCTGCTTGTGGGGTTGGGAATAGAAGAAGTGTGAAGACTGGAGAATGCTCAGTCAGAATATTAAAGAATGCACCATTGCTCTCCAGCTGAAAACATAAGACATTGGAACAGCCTTCTCAGGCTTATCAATTAGACCTGTAATTTTCAAGTCTTTGACTTTATGGCACATTCAGAATCAGACTACACTGAGTTAAGACGCAGTGAACTGTTTTCTTTTTGTTATGAACCGCATCGTGCATCTGTTTTAACAAACTGTTTCCTTTTGATTGACTACTAGAGGTAAGCCTAACATTCTGCTAAATTGCTTCTGCTAGCAACTAATCATCCAGACAACAAAGGGGAAAAGATCTTGTATTGTTTCTTTCTCATGTGCTGCCCTATGAATCTGGTCTTCCACTGAACTTCACTACAGCCTTACACATGCTTCTGAGCCTGTATGAAATTGCCTATTTTCTTCATGAATCACATATGTGAATGTGCCCCTTCTTGTTCTATCCATGCAAATAATTTCCCATGTGTCCCCTTTCCCCTTTTAGCATCCACTGAAAGGAAAAATAATGACCATTATCTAATCAGGCATATAAGTTTGGAAGAAACCTTTACAATGTTTTCTGTCTCCTTTTTGCAGGCAGAAATATTGGGCATTTCACATTACCTTTGTAAACCGGATGGTATTCGTTATTGGCCTGTCATCTTGTAAAACAATACAGGGAAGGGGGTTTCACACAGCAATTTTCTTCCCGTTAATGAGCCATTTCAAACTGTGCTGCTTTCCCCCCACCCTTTTCCACCCCGTGTGTGATCTTCCTTGGAGGGTTTTAAAAAAAATTCTATTGGAAGCGCTATGGCTCTGAAACAGGACCACAAATTAGCGCAATAGTGACCCCATTGAGATGGCTAGAATCCATTCAGATAGACTGTGATACATGCAATCGTGACTGCTGTCACCTGGAAACAAAGATGACAAAAGTAGTTCATTGGACAGCGGGTTTAAGTGGGAGCTTGAGACTTCAGTGAAATACATTCCACTAGCGGCCGGTTACTAAAACGGGTCTGTCTGAAATGACAGAAAATAAACATTGGTAACCAGCTACTGAAGTGGAATACATAGGCAGTCTGAAAAGTCTTGTATTTAAGATGCAATTCTACATTGGGACCATATGTGCCTAGAGTTCAAACATGACACAATTATCCAGAGAGGTAGCCACTGATGGAGAAACAATCCTAACACATATATGTTAGCTTTACAGTAAACACTGTTAGTTCATGATTGCATTCCTGGGAACGTATGTTCTTTCCTACCCTCTCAGCAACCTGGATGAGGGTATGTAGGAACCCAGGAGAAGGCAGAGCAGACCTGACCCCTATGAGGTCACCAAGGAGAGTGAGCAGGTTTAACCTTCACACACACACACAGTTTCTCCAGGTGCACTGTACGTATGGTTCCCTTTGATTCCTGTGAAGAACAGTAGAGTGCTGCACTTCGGGACAATGTTGAAATATGAAGGGGATCATGCTCACACCAGGGTACTGAGGGCCTAACTTCACAATACATGTTTTCTGTCTGGTCCTCAGTCCTTTGGACCAGATGTGTGCTTGGAGTTCTGTGCTTGTATCTCATTCTCAGGTGTGTGGGGGCCCAATTCAGATCAGGACTATGACCCATGAGGAGAGGGAACTTGAGCTTTCCCCCAACCTGTGTTTTCCCCCCAGAACTGTGACAGCCCTGAGGAGCTGCTATTTGCCCTGTTTCAAATCAGGAAAATGGTATAGGAGGAACACTGGACTCCTCTCTTATATGCCATGGTCCCGATCCATCTCAGGCCACCACTTCCCTGGGAATTAACTTCCATATGTGGAACTCCCAGGCAGCAAACATTTAATCCACAAGATCCAGGACAAACCCATAAACAATGTTTCATGTCTTTAGGCTCAATCACATAAGGTAGTGTCCTTCCTACCCTTTTTAAATTGACTACATATTTCTGGAGAACTTGGTATCCACATCTCACTCACCACCATATTCCTTCCCTCATATTAGGGTTGCTATTCCCCTGGTGGTGCCAGGGGATCCCCTGATTTTGGGGGGCCCAATCCACCACAGCCCAGCTGGCTGGCAGGGGAAGCCCCACCTTGAGAAGCCCCCTCCTGGCGCCACTGGTGACAGCATGATGACATTACTGGGTAGTGACATCATTGCATTTCCGATGTTGGGGGCAATGCTCTAGGTTTTGGGCAAAACTCTATGGTTTTAAAGCCCAAAAGACCATATACTTTTGCCCAAAACCTAGAGCATTGCCCCCAGTGTTGGAAATGCAATGACATCATTTCTGAGTGACATCATTGTGATGCGTGCATGTTGTGCTCATGCCAGAAGAGATCCAGGAAGGATCCGGAGTCTCCCTCAGTGGCAGCCAGGTAGGACCTGGCAACCTTACCTCAGACTCTGGGCTCAGACTTCCCTCAGACTCTAAGTTCAGAAATACCTGCGGACTGGAGCCTGGGAAGGTGGGGTTTAGGAAAGGGAGAGAACTTGGTAGGGTATAATGCCATAGTCCAGCTTCCAAAGCAGCCCTTTGCTCCAGCAGAAGTGAAATAAATATTTTAGATAAATAAATAATAAACAAGTTATCTATGTGGTCT